ATTCAGAGGTAAAATAAACATGGTTTTTGTTGTTAATCAGCTGCAGGAGAAGTGCCATGAGCAACACCTAGATCTTTACCTTGCCTTCATTGATGCAACTAAAATCTTCATTCAATCAAAAGAGAGGCTCTATGGAAGTTTTTAATGAGATATGGATACCTGTTAATTTGTTACTTTCATCAGACTCCTTCATGACAATGTGACAGCAAGCATCCTAAGCAATGGCTTGGAAATGCTCCCTTCATTATTAGAACTGGAGTCGAGCAAGGATGTGTGATTATGCCCATATTCTTCTTCATCTGTTTCACATTTCTGCTGATAGACTTCCATCTGAAGTTAGCATTCAGTATTATGTGAATAAGAGTCTCTTTAACATCAACCATTTATGTCCCAAATCCAAGATAAAGAACACTTGCATTCATGATCTTCAGTATGCTGATGATTGTGTCATGTGTCCCCACTTAATTGAAGAGCTCCAGATCATTTATGACTGCTTCTTTGAAATGTACAAGTTTCCTGGACTCGCTGTCAACTACATGAAAATTTCCAGCCTGCCCAAGCCAACCAGCTTCTCCTCCACATACTGCAAGCAGAGGACAATCTTTGGAGAATGTTGAGCATTTCCCTTATCTGGGTAGCCAACTTACTCAATAAGTAAATAGTGGGCTTGTTTACATGTCACCATATGGTGACGTTGCTATGGTGCTGTACTTTAGTATTTCCTTTTGGTACCTCTTGCAAGTACTAAAGCACAGCGCAGTATGTGAGACTAGATTTTGCTGCTACATCCCCATAGCTGCTGATCACATGTAGATGTATGTGATTTCTACGTCACCACAGCATGCTGTATAGCAACGCAGTGTGTCACTACATCACTGTAGGGTGACATGTAGATGCCCTCAAAGATGATGAAATGCCTGGAAGCTTTGGAAAATTACCATCAGCAATGTCTTTGAAAAATCCTCCACATCATTTGGAAGGACAAGAATGAATGTCAGCATTCTGGCTCAAACACTACCAGCATTGAAGCTGTTTATAAAGTACCAGTTTTGTTTGAAAGGATATGTCATATGCATGCCTGGCAAACAACATGTCATATACCCACAACTCATAGAAGGTCACTTCCCTAATGGTGGGCAAAAGTGGAGATCCTGAAGGCCAATCTGGAGAAGTGGGTTATTAACATCAAGTCTTCCAGGTTTTGAACATTGAATTAACCCAATAGTGCTGTGTTGTGGTGTTGATCACTTTGAGCAACCTTGTCTCATTGTGGAGGTGAATAGATGAGAGGGACAAAAGAAAAGAGCTATGACCTAACATTATCTGGATCTTTTCCCTCTCAGAACTATTTGCCATGTCTGCAGCTGAACATGCAGATCTTGGATTGGCCTTCTCAGACACCCCCAGATTCACTGATTGATTCCCATATGTATTGGAAGACTGTCCTCCTCATATGGAGGGACTACTGCTGCTGCTACTGACTTACAGCTGGTACAAATATGGACTAAGCTTATGAACAATAGGAAGACTCCTTAAATGAATTCATTAAATGAATGAATAGTCTACTACAATTCTCCTTGGCATATAACTGTATAAATGAATATAAATAGTCCTTAAATAATGAAAGTGTGACCTGCTTAGATCAAGTTACAAAACAACCAAGAGGGTGGACTGGGGACTTCCTATGGGAAGAAAATTAGGCACTAATTTTCATGAACGGTCACTTACAGTTTTTTAATATTCTTTTAATTTTATGTTGAATCTGATTAGCACAGATATAAACAAAACCAATGGTAGGGTTGGAGGAATGTGAATTTATCAGTCACAATATGCTGTAAACCAAAGACAAGATAAGGCAGTTTTATGCCTTGGGTGTTGATTGGAGCTAAGCTGCCAGCAGCAGCTCACTTCCTGGAACAGCAGGAGTGATGGCTTCTATATTTGCGTCTGTCCCAAGTCAGTGCCCAAGGCTGGTACTTGAGTAACCCCTCTTCATTACGCTCATGTGGAAAACTAGCAAGAAACTGACATGTTTAGAATTCTATCATTCCAAGAAATTGTACTGCAAAAGAAGAGAAGCCTTGTCATTTGGGCAGTGGCATAGAACTCAGGTAATCTGGATGAGGTTTCTTGCCATGCTATAAACTTTTTGTGGGACCTTAAACAAGTCATTTTAGCATAATTTTGATTAACTTTCATTCCCACTTTCTAAAATATGTATGAAATTCACCTGTATGAAGTAGAACTGAAAGGTACTTCAGAGGTCATCGAGTCCAACCCCCCTGCCTGAGGCAGGATCATCCCTATCCTAACAACCCCATACAAACCATTTTCTAAACTCTACATGAGACTGCCTCCAACCCTGATGCAACATGGACCTAATGGCCTAACCTGCCACAAGTAAGGAAGGGGAACAAGAGTAGATAATGTCCTAATTCTATAAAAGGTTGTCAGTATATGCCCAAGAGGTCTTGGACACATGGCTACACCCCCTTCTGTGGAGGGGTTCTGCCGCCTTCTGTAGCTCTAAGCAATCTAACTATAGGATAAAATTACTTCTTGATCCCAAATATGGTGATTGGTTTGACCCTAAGCAGGGGGCCAAGGCTCTCTAGCCAGGAAACTCCAGTTTTGCTCCTAGCAGGAGAGTTGGCACGCCTCAGTTGAAGTCCCCAGTATTAGCTGTAGCCAACATCCAGTTCCTCTGGAGAGGCTTAGAAACATCCTGACACAAATAGCAAAAAAAAAAAAAAAAAAAAGGGGGGGGGGGGGGGGGGG